ACGTCTCTTGGCTTCAAATCATAAGGAACCCAAGTTCCTTGTTTTTGAATCATTCCCAACGCATGCAATTGCTTGGAAATTGCTTGGCGGGTAATGCTGAAGCAAGCTCTTTTTGCGTTTGGCACGAATCCTCATCGAGCAATGCCTCCAATTCAGCGTCTTCGAAGGTTTTTGGCCTTCCTTCACGCGAACGGTCGTCAACATCGAAATCACCGTCTTTGAAGCGACGAAACCAATCACGGCACATTGTTTCACTTAGAGCAGCATCTCTGTAAACTTTTTAGAGTTCTCGATGCGCTTCAGCCGCCGTTTTCTTCGAATGAAAGAAGAAAAGCCACACTTCCCGCAAATGACGATTATTTGGCACAAAATCAGACATTTTCACACAACCAAAAGTATATGACGCAAAAACAAAATCACTAATGTGTCAAAGCGGTTTGTTTACCATATGTCTAAGCTTGGTTCATGACGTTTTGGTTATGTCACAATCGACCAGCACTTACTACTGGAGCCATCTCTTGAAAAACAGCGGAAACTTAGTTGCGCACCTAATACTTTTGCTCACCGGAAAGTTCTTAGCCGCGACGCGACGCGCGGAAGAGCGCGTGTGGGAACGCCGTCGTCGTCGAGCAATGATTTCGCGATCGCAGATCACGATCATCGGCCGCGATTTAATCCGCAGGCTGAATTTTAGACCGCGCGTCTGGCCGATTCAGCGGAATAAAACCGCGCTCGCCCGCGGGTTATGATTAAGAGATGTGGCGCCGGAGCGTTACGGCGCCCGCGAGTTAGCTGGCTGACCAAAACCTCGCCGAGAGTCCGATTCGCAACGCCCGGGTCCCTATATTGCCTCGCTTAGGCTCTCGCGGAAGATGCTAAGCAATTATCATCAAGAATTAAATATTTACGGCCGCGGACGCGCATATGTATGTATGTGTGTGTGTGCGCGCGCGCGCGCGCGAGGAAAGGAGGGAAGCTACTCGCTACGACGCTCGTGAGAGACAAAGAGACAAGAGGGCCGACTGGATAAAACAAAACTTGCGCGCAAGTTGCAAATGGCTATATATAGCCCGCTGCTGAATATACACGTAACGGAACAAATAATCCAAAGTTGTAATTATCGGAAACAACGGCGCGGGACTGCGGCCGGATTACCGTGAGAGTAAACGCGTGTAGGCCGAGTGGCGAATCGTGTACTTATGTAATTCGCTAGATCGCCGCGCGAGCCTTGAGTGAGTCTCCTCCTGAGTATGTTACCTAAACACACACACATTCGCGCACACGCGTATAGAGAGGCGCATAAGGGCGCAGAAGGGAGTAACGCGATAACCGTGATCGGCGGATGATTCCGACTCGTCGCCGTTTCGCCGAAAATTGATATCTCCATTCGCCGCGATCGCGATCAGCTGAGAGAAAGATAGAGAGAGAGAGAGAGAGAGAGAGAGAGAAGGGGGGCGGAGAGGGGGGGGGTAAAAGGAGACGGAACGAGAACGAATGCAAATTCCCATGTTCCGTGCGCGGTTCACGGGGCGATAATCCGGTCCGCGATAGCGGTTATTTATAGACGCGGCGTAATGCGATAATGTTGCCGCGGTATTGTAAACAAAGTGATCCGGGGGAGACGAGGCCATCATTCATGTGTCGCCACTTGTTATTAGAGCGAAACAGTGGCCACTATCGAGTTAGCCGGTCGTTTCGCTCACACGCCTTCTTCTTGCCGGACACGGCCGCGCGCATTCAATTAGGCTTCTCCTAGCAGCCCCGCCGCGCAACGGGAACAAATTACGTATAAGCCGCATCGACGCGTGAGAGAGATACGACGCACGTTCTCTCCGTTCTCTGCATTACTGCCGGGGCGAAATTCAGAGAGGAAAAAAGAGAGGGCGGTTTCGCGCGCCGAGGTAATCCGAGTCGCGATCGCGAACTGAATATGCAGGCGATTATCGCGGACGCTCGCGGTAGCGGACTTTCAATTACGCGCGATTTATCTCCGCCTGGCTCGCGCCTGGCCGTTACGATGAGTGCCCGTAATCGTGGAAACATCACTCCGCGGGAGACGGATTTCGCAGGCCGGTCAACGCAACCGGCAGAAATTGCGACTAATAAGCATGGAAATATAACGAGCCTCTCGCGCGAACGCGAACGTCCTCGCCGAGCCGGGAGGAGTCAAAGATCGAACTCACTCTACAACCCGCGAGTTTGCACCGATGGCGAGTCGCTCGCCCTCCGGTACTTAGAAATTCGCGCACGTGCCGCACTTTAATGTTCAAATAATTGGACGTGATTCCGTCCGAATAAATAAATAAGTGTGTGTGTTATGTAACTTTTTAACAATCAAGATCAGAGAGAAGCAAGGCTCCCAAGAGCCAAGTATTGAGTCAAAGCGAGCATAATATTATAAAAGAGATAGAATAAAATATTGTCAGTTAGTATAAAAAAACATTACAAATATTAATACATGTTCATGAATGAACTGAATACTTGTTGAAACAATATTACGGAAATAACGTGAATTACGTGAAATAATGGCGACAAGAGAGAAACTAAATTGCCGGGCTCGCTCGCACGAGACACGGCAATGGTTGCTTGAATACGTTAAAAAATAATGAGCCGAGTCATTTCCTGTAAAATGATATCGGTAACGCCGCCCCGCTTGCGGACGTGCTTCTGCCAAGTTCTCTCGAGCGAACGTCGGGCTCGCTTCGAGCGGAACAAACGGCTCGGCGTTTGTTCCCCCGCATCTTCCAAATTCACACGTGACGATGATTCCCGAGCGAGTCCGAGACAACGGTCGAGGTAACACAAAAAAAAAGCGAGAGAAATATTCATCCCTTCGATCGCGCGATAATCCACGAGGAAGTTTCGCCGCGCCGACGGCTTCGCAGCCGCGCAAACGTCTCGGCGAAAGAAGAGAAAACAAAATCGCCAAGCGCCCCCCCGTTCATTTACATGAAGCAGTGGTTGTTCACGTACGCTCATTAAAATAATGAGCCGAGTCATTTCCTGTAAAATGATATCGGTAATGCCACCCTGCTTTGCATAACGTGTGGCGGGTCTAAAGAAAAAAGGGTTGCCGATAAAGATCGTTGAATCTTTGAACGCCGGTGCGCCGAGAGCGACGACTTTGACAATTCTCTGTCAATCAACGACATCCGCTTACATTATTTATTAAACGCGCTGCCTCGACCGTTGTACAAGCGCAGTCGCTTTCCCTGCGGCCATTCGCGTTCCCGAGTCGAAATTTGCTTTCTACATTGATCCTGCAAATCCCATCGAACTTGAAGAATCAACGAAGAATCTCTCTTGAGACGCAATATTACGCAGGTCATTGTCCTACCTTCATGTTAATAAATGTAGCATAAACTTCCATGTTGTGAGTCTCAAAGGAGAACTCATTTGAAAATTATTTCAGAATTATTTAATATTCGATTATCTCAGTATTTTCTATCTGTATTCAATCTTTATCCTCCCTCTCCTTGATTCTTTATTCCTTATTCTTCGTTTCAGTTACAGCAATGTGTTAATTATATGACTTAACTGCAGATGCATGTGAGATAAGCGAATATTAAATATTCACTAATAAGGATCAAGGTGTACATGAATAAAAATATAACAACAACTTTTTACTGTCATATCTCTTTTTTTTTTTGTTGAAAGCCTCGATGGGTTGAAAGCCTAGAAAAGAGCTGCTTTCAAGAAGCTGCAAAGGTAAAGAGAACAGTTATGGGTCCAATAATGCTTTGTCCCAATAGGGATTTTAAATCTGAATTCCGTACTGTACGATAACAAAGTCAAACAAAGGTAAAAGGAACCGCGGAGGTAAATAAAATAAAACTCGCGAACACACGGAGCATTATTAGACGTACGTCAGCAATTGCGAAATGTACATTGGATTTCAAGGCCGGTATTCATGGCTGAGAATCATTTGACATCTTGGCTTGAGAATACAATTAATTGCCAATGCGTATTCGGCAGGTTTGACGGATCGATGCTTTTCGGATGAAATAACGCAATAAGTACAACGGTAAAAATCGGAGATTCGCGAGGCTATAATTATCCTCACCAAACAAGGACACACCACGAATGCCGGCCTAAATTTCGACTCGGGTATTTCTCTATTTTTGACGAGTTCGTCAAACGTTCAAAACGTTCAAAACGGAAACCTGCGTCATAAATTATTCGACACACCTTGGACATGTATGACGTCCCGCTTCCTCCTCCGCCCTTGACTCGACATCCTTGATCCACCTCGATTCGACATCCTGGCTGCTCTCCGTCATGACGTTGACAGTCGCACTGACTCTCGCGTAGATGCGATTCGATCGAAGATACGCGTGTTAAATAACGCGATACCGGCGAGAACGCGACCGACACGGAGAAAACTGTCTGGCCTGGTTCGTAGAGAATTGTTTCAGCCGATCGATCACTTTCCGCGTGGAGTATTTCACAAGAGCCGACGAAATGTATTAATCACCCGCGACGAAGCAACGCACACCGGCTCGGAGCCTACTGAAAACACGCGTAAAAGCACGCGACATATCGACACAGGTCGTCCGCTTTCAAGATCAACAATGTTTCGAAAGTGTTGATCGTTTTTATCACGCGGCCGTTCACCGGCGGCGACCGGGCGACCTAGCGATAGACGCCGGAAGGATAACGCTCTTTTTGCCCTTTGTTTTGTTTTGGTACTTCTCATATCTTTCACGTATCATCGTTTCGGGCCGGCGCACTTTTCCACGAATTGTATTCGCACGAAATATTTCGTCGGGCTTCTCGGAATGTCTAATCAGATTCTCGATGATGTTGCATTAATTAACATATATTTCTTTTCTTCTTTCGATCGAATCGTGTCTACGCGAATTCACGAGCAGCAGGATGCGGAATCGGGAAGCCGGGATGCATCGAGCAGCGATACATTGTGCATTCTTCACGGATTATAGACGTGTATATTTTATACGTATTATATATTTTTATATGTATATGTTATTATATATACCAAGAGAGTCTAAGAGAAGCGTTGGTCGACCACAGGCGAGATGGCGAGAGATGACATTCAACGCCACGCAGGGAAGAGATGAATACACAAATGGCACAACAGAGGAAGACATGAAGGAAGATGAAAGAGGCCTTTGTCTAGGAGTGGATGTCGACAGGCTGAAGAAGAAGAAAGAAGATATTTTATATATACATTTCTAACGCTAATGAAAAATTAATAATAAAGATTGTAAGAGGACAAAGTCTGTTACGTCGCTTGTTCATCTGATTATGTACCTGCCTATTAATCTTCATTAATTATTTAATATTTGCTTATCGTGTATATTCTATCTACAGTTATATAAATAATTACACATTGAAATTAAAAATAAAAATTAAATGCAAATATTAAACAATTCCGAAGAGTTCTCATTGAAGGACAATTCAACGTGGAGGAAGTACGTGGCACAAGTAATCGTTTGTGGCATCAGACAATAACCTGCGTAATTGTTCTTGAAATTTGACGGAATTCGCAAGCTTAATGCAGAAGCAAGATTTCGGCTCAGACTCTTGCGAGAAAAAGCTCAAAATAAAAAAAATATCCGAAAACCCGACCGATCTCCGAGCGCGACTTCTTCCGGCGAAGGAAATAATCGCCTTCTCCAGAATGAGCGGAAAACTTCGCGACAGATCCTTTCCCGCAAGATACAAAATTCCACCGCAAGCTCCGTGTCGAAAATCGACACGACGCGTCGTTTTGGACAAGTTGCTCCTGAGGAAGCGCCGTCGCGTTCGCTCGAGTTTCCCGCCGCGCCGCCGCGGACGTTCGCTCATTCGCGCGGCCTTGCCGAACGCGGCCACGTGCCAGGTGCAAGCGCTATCGGGGCGCCCGTTTGATATCGCGAATTCACGATGTGTCTCCGGAGCCGCTCATTATCCCACCGCGCAGCTCCCTGCGAAAAGCGTGACTGCCGTCATCGGCAGGGCCGGCCGCCACTATCATTATTATCCTCCTTCCAATTATCAAGCCCCTTCAATGTCAATGCACACAAGACGCTTATCCGGCCGCGGGACTTCGCGTACACAGACAGCGCATACGGCTATCTTCGCGCTGCGATCTTCGCGGCCCGGCTAAACGTCAACCCGCTCGATCGCAATTCTCGATCGCGCCGAGAGCGCCTACGTGTTGTCGCCATGTGTTGTCCGCATCTGCGCGCATCCCGGCGGCGGCGGTTTGAAAATAATGTCCGATGAGCGCAACTTTCTCATGTCGATGTTAAGCGGCTGTTTACGCGCCACACGCATCAATTATCGTTATCGCGACGACGGACTCTCTAGGACTTGGAAACTAACGAACATGGTTTGCCCGTCGCTCTTTTTATCTCTCGGCGCTTACTCTGGTCGCTGGGATATCGACGATGTAAGCGAGCAAAGGCGAGGTTGTTTATTAATTTACAACGACGCGCTAACTTCACAGCGCGATCGCGCGAATTGTAGACGCGCCGGTCGTAGGCTGCTTTCTTACACGCGTTCTTCTCGATGCAAGATTGCCTGAGTATAACTGATGATAACAGAGAATTCATGTTCGTGTTACAGTCGCGAGCACTTTGGACAATCAATAACTCACGGCGGAAATCGCGAGAGAAACTGCCGCTTGCAGCAAGACGTGTCGGGAGACCAAGAGATGCATTAATAATTAATATTAACGAAATGAAAAAAACAATTGCAGACAGTCTTCCGTCGCGAACTCAAAGTCGCCAGTCTCCGCAGGTCACGAGGTACCGCATCGAGAGGAGAGGAGACTCGACCCTTCATTTTGCTGGAGAAAGTCCGAAGATGAAAAACGGACTTGAAGCGCACCTTCCGCAATGTTCCACATGTTACGCAATTTCTTTTTCACGACACGCGAATTTCGGATCGGACCACAGCAGCCTTTAAGCCAGCGTTGCACCGTAACCCATTTAATCGGACCCGAAGGCTGGGCGGCTCGCCGGCCGCTAGCTGCTGGTCGTTCAAAGCAACACCCAGACGGTGCGCGATCGCGTTGTCGGCATTAATTGGATCGTCGCGACGTTTGGCCGACATTTACACGGGCGGCATGTCGGCCGTGTAAGTCGTACAGCCGTAAGTCATTCCACCGCCGGACAATCGGCGAGTGTTCGCGGCTCCGGGCGCGGGTGATCGTCAGGTGGGTGATCGGCGACGCGCCCGTAGCACCTCGCAGCCGCGGGAGCACGCGCACCTGTACCGATCCATCAAGAGTGCCGATCGTCGAGCGATAGAGGACCGCAAGGATGCCGGAGCGCCGCGGGCGCCTTGGAATTTGTTGCTTTAATTACGAGTCCAAACGAGCGCGCGACGATCTGTATCGGCCGATACATTATGACGAGCCGGCCCGGCCGCCCCTCGCGTCCGCTCTTTTGTCGGCGAAAACGGAGCTCGTCGTCGACGTAAACTCTCGCCGCTGCCGCTGACGAGCGTCTCTCCCTCGCGGCAACCGCGCGGCAGCCGCTCGGCCGCACCGTTAGCCCGCTTCGATTTCTCCTCTCTCTCGAGTCGCCGTATTTTCGTCGCTCTTTCCGGAAACTCCGGGGTTTTCTTCCGTTACAGTTCGAGCCCGCGGAGAAATACACGGTGAGAAAATGTGAGGAAAGAAGAAGAACGAGAGATGTTACGGCATCTACCACGCGACTTGGCTCATCCGGTCAATCTGCGACGCCATGAGGTGGCGCCGCGCATAAATTCACGCCGATGAAAGTCTAAATTGATTAATGTAATGTGAATTTACGGTAAGAAGATGGCGTGAATGATTAATCGACGCATGCAGATCGCGAGAAGCTCGCATGCGTTGCAAAGGTGGCCGCGCGCACCTTGAAACTCGTCCTTCGACGGAGCGACAAAGTCCCGTATGCTTGTCGAATAATTAACGACGCGAATGGCAATAGGCTCGCGTCTCATTAACCGGACGCTGCTTTCAATACGAGATCGCTATCGCTAATTATTGGCTATTGACGCGCGTTAATAAGACGGTCGCGCCTCTGGCGACGCCGGGCAAGTCGCTTCATTTGCTCCGCGCTTCCGAGCATTTCCGTATTGCACCCGAAAGAGAACGCATCTTTAATCCTTTTCGTTTCTGATGAACGTGCGAAATTTGGTGAAATAGAAACAATTAATCCTAATAAATTAGCAAAAAGTATATGATTAATAAATAATGTTAAATTACGTTGAATAATTAATTCCCATTAGTTCCTTGCAGACATTTTCTTAACGAGTTCCGGTGGTTTCGACGTTTGGAACGTAAGAGAACGGCAAAGATTTAACGTCGTCTTCTTTTATAATTAAAAATATATTGGACGCCAAAAACAAGAGAGAGAGAGAGAGAGAGAGAGAGAGAGAGAGAGAGAGAGAGAGAGATACGCTCATTCGGAAATACACGATACAGCTTGTTATCGCGATGCTTCAAACGACCTGACATATTTTTTGGGTTTTGGGATTGTTAGAAGAAAAGATATGTTCGCAGAGTAAAAGTCTCGATGTCGCCTTTTCGAAATACGAAATTACGCTCACAGGCACCGCTCTCGCCGATGCCGACGTACCGTCGCTTGAAACGGAAACGAACGCTCGGATCGTAATTCGTGCCAGCTATTGTTCGCTGCCGCACAACGGGAACGATGCATTTCTAACGGGCGAATGTCGAGCGTACGACGCGTCTCAGCCGGCGCATCGATCGAATTCGAAAGAATACACGCCGCCGGTAATGGACGGCACCGTTAGGGGCGTCGTCGTCGCCGTAATTGAAGTCTCCGGCTAACGGACAATTAACTCTCTCTCTCTCTCTCTCTCTCCCGCCCTCTCTCTTGGAACTTGTTTCATAAATTCACCACTCGTTAGATATTAATGGGCCCGCAATGCGCCGCGAATCTCCGGCGTGAGGTCGCGCGCGTCTCCCATTCCACGTTCCTCTCTCGCGAATCGATCGTTATTTCCGAGCGAGCAAGTGAACGTTATTAAAAATTACCGCAACGCGTCGCGACTCCGCTCGACTCGACCTCGTGAAAAATCGATCCAGCGATTCGCACAAACAAGCGCGCGCATTTAGCGCGCTCGCGTCTGCCCCGACGCGACGCCCGAGATTTATTCATCTCGCACGGGGAGGACACACACATACGATTTTATCTCGTGCCGAGAGGATCGGCCGGCCGCACTTACCTTACTTAGCACTAAATTACCAGGATATGCGCGGTCGAGTCGTTAGGCTAGAAAAGGTTAACGTCGGCCGTTCCGCGAGCGCGGCCAAGATCGTCCTCCGGCGACCCTACGACTCGCTCGCTGCTCCGCGATGACCTCCGCGCGCAACAACCCCCGACTCGCCCGCCTCTCCGCCTTCCTCATAGTCCTCATGTCGCCTCCCGCCCTTGTCCGCACTCGAGATGCGAGCGTCATCCCGGGGTTTTTACGGCGCTTTTCGATAATAAAACGAACAACGCCCACAAAGAGAGAGAGAGAGAGAGAGAGAGAGAGAGAGAGAGAGAGAGAGACAAAAGTCGAGAGAAGAGGAGACGTGAGCGGCGGGCGCGCCGCGCCGCGCCGGCGAGATGACGAGGCCGTCTATTAGGGAAAATTTTATTAACGAGCCGATCCCGGAAGACAAAGCCGCGGCTGCAGCAGCGTGCGCCGCGGTGCGTAAATCAACGGCGTTGCCTCGATCATTAAGGCTTCTTTCTCTCTCGGCGCCGCGGCTGTCTCTCGCCGCTCTCGCGCGCGGCCGGCCCGCCCGAGCATTGCTACGTCGTAATGCGTGCACGCGCGCGCGCGCACTACCTCGTATTGTTTTCTTTACGTGTGCGGTTGCACGCGAGAGATCGCTTTTTACACGCGCGTCATAATGCGCGCTCGCTGGACGCTTCTCGCGCGCGTGCTCCGAGCGTTTCCTCCTGCCGCAATGGGCGGGAAAGCGCCGAGGGCCTTAAGCCCGGTAATGCATCCGACCGACTTTATTCGAGAACTCACGGCGGTCCTCCCGAGCGAGCCGATCTGAATAGCCGGGGAGAAGCAGCTGACGAAAGTAGCGCCGGGTAAGACTGGCCGTTGCGACATTGTGCGCGAGATGGTTACGTGTTGCATTACGGAGATTTTGATCGCTCTCTCGCGCGACTCGCG